CCTTTATGTGCAGACCAGTATCCATCTGATAAGTTTCTGCAGAGAAGTGAAAGCTTAGCTTGGGAAGATGCATTTTGAGGATATTAAGTTTGAAATATTTTCTTGCTAGATATACCATTATGGTTGGTAATGTTTTCTGTTTCTTGTTATTTTTAATCCTCATTTTTGCTGTATGCCACTCAAAGCTGTTTGGAGTGTAAAGCCAGAGAAACCTCAAAAACAGACCAACTACTGTATATGTCTGTTTTTCTTCTAATAATCTTTTCTCAAGGCTATACTTTTTATGTTTGTCAAAGTAAAAAGCTGTGGAGAAAAGTTTATAAAACTGTTTAAAATTGGCAGCTAAACTTAGTTTCTTTCATAATTTTTGAGAATACAGTGTTTTTATAATTCATGCATTGCTTTACCCAGAGGAAAAATTAATTGAACAAAGATACCATTGTATTAATGACAGTAGCTTTGCTCATGTGGTGGTTTAACAAATTGCTTTGACTGAGCCTAAGGGACATCTGAATAAATATAACCATGATAAAAAAAATCCATTAATTCTTCTTGTGATAAGTTATGGCATTTATACAGAAAATTACTAATAAAGCAAAAAATATTTACATTCATGCATGGATGTATATGTGTATCACTCTGTGTGTGGTGTTTTTGTATAGTTCATATCAGTCAGATGTTTGACATTTTATCCACTTATCGAGTTGTGCTTATTATTATGGTTATTGTTGTTGTTAACCAATCCAATGAAGGATAATGCCTATTGAATAAGGCTGTGGGCCACAATTTTCCATGCTGTCCATTGCAGAATGTTTTTCAATTTTTCTAGACAGTGACTAGCCCATAATCACCCACTCAACTTTCATACCTAAGAGAGGATAAGAATTTGGGTCTCTCATTTCTCATATACAGCACCATAACATCTTAACCACTGAAACACATTAGCATTCATACATATTTGTGATTTGGAAATACCCCAGAATCATTATGTTTTTCCTGAAAAATAAATTGAATCATAAAACTCATATAGCCACCGTTACTTGGTAAGACAATTACAGTATATGGCGAAAAGGTATAAGACACCGCTGAAACATTCAGCACATGAGAAATTCACAGAAAACAGAGGTTTTGGACTCAATTTGTCTTTTTTTTCTTAAACTGAGTGTAAGTAGTACAAAATGCAAAAGAAAATCTCAATAGAATCGTATATGACACATTATCAGTTCAAATTGTTTATTCTAAATAAGAAAGGAACTGCTCTGAAATAATATTCAGTTATTTGAATTCCCTTACCTGATAATAACAAGATGTTTGCTGGATGATCAATAACCAATTGCTTTAGACAGTTCTTCAGGACAGTGATTACCAATGGTTTTTTCATCTTAGCAGGTAGTTTTTTTGCACAGAAATTTTGCCAGTGAGCATATGGCTTTTTTAGAAAAACATTCCAGAGCATTGTCTAGAGCATTATTGAACAGTACTTGTGCAATAGCATTGTTGAATGGTTCTTGTGCAATATTGCCTGTGTTTTGTCCTCATTATTTGTACACATATTTGAATAGATTCCAAAATACACCCAGTGTCATTCAGAAGAAAATCTAAGAAGTTATCAATTGTCAAAAGGACTGGTCATAAAACAACTCAAAGCCGGCAAGTATTTTTGCAATGTACATATTTTTAATGCCATCAAACACCAAAATCTGCCTATCTCAGTTCTTTGGGAAGGATCTTTGCGATGAATCATAATAATAAAATGAAGAAGCTAAAGTGCTCTGGGAATTTAGAATTCAAGCAGATAAAGGACTTGCCATATAACATCCCAGACTTAACAATTGTCAATAAGAAAGACAAAAAATATTCTGGATAATGGATGTGACAGTATCTCAAGACAGAAGAATAAAAGAGAAAGAACTCAAGAAAATCACAAAATAAAAAGACCTGTAAACAGAAATAAAATGATTGTGGCAAAAGAAAGCAAAGGTAGTACAATAGGAATAGGCACTCCCAAATAGTGCAATCCCAAAACATCTGCAGAACGATTTGAATACCACTGACCAAATTTAATCAATCAATTACAAAAAGGAGCTTCAACTGGAGCAATGTACATTCAATGACAATATCTTTAACACCATCAAATAGTATCTACCTATGTCATGGAAGGACTCAATGGTGGGGGGGAATAAAATATCAAATAGAATCTAACTATCTGGTTTACTGTGAGACAAACTATAATAACAATAAAAAAAACTATAATGAAATAAAATTTGACACATTGAGTCCGGAAAGGAACAAGCCCTATTCTTCATATAAACATATATTTATAACAAAAGAAACCACTTTCAGTGAATTTTTTAAAAAAAGTTTATTATGTTTATTCCTATGTTTTCCTATTCCAATTCCACATCAATACTTTTCCTACTGGCATGGTTCAAATTTATCATTGTTGTCTGAATATACTCATTTATTCACAAGTTGTTACTGAGTCACGGGAAGTCAAAGGTTCAGCAACATTTATTAGTATTAATAATTATCATTATTATATTTTATTGTATTAACTTGCACAGGATTACTTTTTTAATGATTTCATATACAAAATGTCACTGTGGTTTACTCACACACAAAAAGAAGTTGAAGTTGAGAGTTTGGATTACTGCAAGGTTTCTTGTGTGAAGTGCATAGAATAATTTAGTTTACAACACCCTATTAATATTTTCTAGATTGCACCTTTTTTTCTCTTTGTCTTCCACTATGAAAATGGCATTTAAATACATAATATTTATAAATCAGACCATCAGCAGCTTAAGTGTCTAATCATATTTTTTCTGATTATCCAATAAATATATAGTTAGGAAAACTAGAAACATTTGTTTACATATCTGAATAAAACTCACTGAAGACAATAGAACTTCTAAATATTTTCTGCAAAGGTAGAAATATTTCTTATTTGTATAAGAATAAACCTACATTCCAATCATATGCTAGATTCATATTTGGGAGATGAAATACTTTCTTTCTCTTTCTTTTTAATGGCAGTAATCCAAACTCTCAGGTTCAGCTTCTGCTGTCTTTATAGCTATTGTTGCATTTTGATAAATCAGTGTTTGTAATTGGCAATGGTGAGAAGCAAGGGCCAGGCAGAGTTCAGCTATGGTAGATGCATATCAAAAAGAAATGTTTGAATTTCTTACAAATTTCATGAGATAATTGACTGGAAACTAGCTGTCATATATAACAACTGTCAAACATGACAGCTCATGGCCCTATATGGGGAACACATCCTCACTTGCTATGAAAGACTAATCCAGCCACCAGATGAAAAGTCAAATAAAGTCTTGTTTGAAGGCATATTTTTTATTATTTTCTTTGATGACAGATTGTTTCCAATATGCAAGAAGAGTTATAATTGTCCAAAACAGAATGCATTTTATTTTCCAATACTGCAAAGCAATCTTTGATTGTATCATTTCTGAAATAAATCATACTCCGTATCAATAATTTCTTGTTTCACAGACTTAGACAGAATCTCAAAATCCACTTCTTAAAACATGGACAGCCAACAGATGGCTGAATATAGTTTTTCTAAAGATGTGAAACTGTTAAAGCACTTCCTCCCTTCTGCAATATAAATCTCTGGTAGGACAGTTTGCAATATATTCAGTGAAACATGCTTTAAACATGGAAGATTTTTTCATTTATGTCACCAGACTGTATAGGACAGAACAGATTGAAGGACACTTTGTAAATGAGGTATTGTATTAGATTACCATATATGGACTGCAAAATCTATATATCCAAGTGCTAGAAATCAACAACATGCTTCTATAAATCTTTAACTCACCATTGTTATTTAGTCATCATTGTGGTTTTTTGCAGTCCAGATATGGTAAACCTTTTCTGTATTTTCTGAATACAATGGAATTTAAGAGAGGTTAGGCTTTGTCTGTTTGTGGCTACACAGTCATTCTAGACCAGGGGTCCCCAACCACCGGTCAACTCCTACCGGGCCGCAGGCTTGCTGGGCGCCGCCATCTTTTTTTGATGAAAAAGTGCTTCCGGTGAGCTTTTCCGGGTAGAAAGCTCACCAGAAGCACGTTTTCATCAAAAAAAGATGGCGGCGCCCAGCTGATGCCGGTACCGGGCCGCGGCACCCAGCTGATGCCGGTACCGGGCCGTGGCGTAGAAAAGGTTGGGGATCACTGTTCTAGACCGATTCCTTTTTTGAGGAATCTTAAATTCTGCCACTCCTATTCCTACATAATGCTTATTATTAGTTTTACTGAAACTATTTCAGGGATCTCTTTTCCTTACAAGATTTTGTGGAGGTTTTTCATTTTTATGATTCTGTTCTAATATGGGGTTGATGAATATATTTATAAAATCCACTTAATAATAATGTATGATATGGTAACTGCACATGACAGACTGGCCTATTCCAAGAAAAAAAATGAAAACGATTACTTCGAGCATCTGGAATGCTTTTGTGAGATAACTTCACTTATAATAAAAAAAATGCCCACAATATTAGTAAAATACAGATAATTAAGACTAAATCAATATACTTAAAAAAAACTAACTAAATAATGCCAAATGTCTTTGATTTTCAGTAAATTTATTGCTTTCAATTTATTTACAAAGGAATTGCAAGGAAAAAAAGTAGACCTGTTGACACACTGACATTTTTGTTTTAAAAGGAGTTGTCAGCATTCCGAGTAATACATCCAAAGAAATCAGAACTCTGCGGCAAGCAGATCCCTCAAAGAACATATTTATTGGATACATCATATTGGCACAGCTGGTGAAAACCAACTCTGAAGTTTCCCACACTAATAGCATAATTTAAAAGTAACAGTTTCCCTCCCCAATTGTTCCAAGTCATATTGTCCAATTAAAACAGTTGGCGGACTCCCAGTTACTCCTTCCCTCCTTCAACTGCCAACTGTTGAGATGACTTGATTTCCATGGGAAGGCTCGTTGTTGTGTCTTCAGACTCTCATCCCTCCCGCTAAGAGTGTGTGGCAACTATGAAGCACCTATGAAGCAGCAAAAGATGATTTCAGCCAGGTTTGATTCAGAGTTGACAGGAGTGATGTTTAGAATCAATCTGTGCCCCCTTTTACAGGTTTAATTATGTGCTTTTTAGTTCCCTTCATATTTTTATATATGGTGGGTTGATATTGCCTAATGTAGGAATAGTTTGAGTTTTATCCTTTGATTATGTAGATAGCTCAAATAATGTTCATGGAAATTCTTCTATGTTTCTACCTTTGCTTGCTCCCATAAAAGCAAGAAAGGAAACACTCACTGATAATGCTTTTCTTTGCATTAGCAGTTGTCTTTGATACAAAACTACAGGTCAGGCTATTTGTTTTATGTGATAAATACATTATTTTACACTAATTTTCAGAGGATTATTTTCTTGAAACAGGCATATTTCAGTGCTAGAATAGCTGAATCACAACCACACTCTTTTTATCAGTGTTTTTATTGATGATGATGTCCTTGAAATAAAACTATATCATTTGTATAGTGCATCTTCTACTGAAAATGCAAAATTGAGAGCAGGAAGCATTTCAATGAAGAAAATAGTGTTTATTATTAATAGAAAATATAACTACTGCTATTGCTAAGATCCAGCAGGAGTTGATGAAATTCCTGCAACTACATCTATATAGTTTTGAATAACATGACTGCATAGGAGACATATTCTCAATAGTGTTGTAAAATGATTGCCTTTGCTGCAATTCTAAACTGTGGAACCAACTGAGTTTTCAAAATAAATTGCTTTTCACCTGTAGTTCTGCATGTGAGAAAATAATGCCATATCACCATTATGTGAGGTAATCACAATGTATGATGTGCAACCATTTACCACATCAGGACTTGTAATTGCAGCCAAGTCATCAATTTCTTCTACCCAACTATATTTGCAAAATATTAGCAAGTTCAAAGAAAACATATTTTAAAATAGGTTAAATAGGTTTCACTCATGTTAAGCAAGATATATAATATGTATATGTATATGTATATGTATATGTATATGTATATGTATTTGTTTGTATTTTTGTCCATTATAGGTGAAGTATGTATTGGATAGGCAGTGGTTGGTCAGATCTAGGATGTGCTTGGGGGGGTTGTATTTGTTTTGGATGGCTGTCAAGGCTTCTTTTATTGGCACTTGGGTGAAGAGGGATATGACATCGAAGCTCACTAGTAGGTCGCTGGGTTGTAAGTTTCGTTTCTTTATGATCTCGATGAACTGGAATGAGTTTCTTACATGTGAGTTGATGGATTCTGCATAGGGCTGTAGTTGTTTGGCGAGAAATTTGGCTAGGTTTTGTAGAGGTGAGCCCTTGGAGCTGACTATTGGTCTAAGTGGGGTTCCTTCTTTGTGTATCTTGGGGAGACCATAAAGCTTAGGGCATCTGGATGATTTCTCTCTGGGTATGATTCTTTGCTGGATTTCTTCGATGATGGGGGAGGCTTTTATTTTGGATCTGGTGATTTTTTCTAGGTAGGTGGTGGGGTCCGTCTTTAGGGGTTTGTATGTGGGGTCTTGGTGTAGGTTGGTTAACTTGGTTTGGTAGTCAGATGTGTTCATAACCACTGTCGCGTTGCCCTTGTCTGCTGGTAGGATTATTATGCTGGTGTCTTCTTTCAGGTTAAGTAGTGCAGTTTGTTCTTCTTTGGATAAGTTGCTTTTGGGTGGTTTGCTAGTGCAGAGGATGTTGGTGATTTCGAGTCTGATTCTATTATCATCATCAGGGTTGGTTTTGGTCAGGCTGGTTTCAACTCTGCATATGATGGTTTCTGTGGGGATGTGTTTGGGAGCGACAGCAAAGTTGAATCCTTTTGAAAGGACCTTGGTTTCGGCTTCGGTGAGGATCTTGTCTGAGATGTTATGCACTGTTTGTTTCATATGTGGCTGTGAGGGGGGAGGAGTTGGTTTCTGGCATTGTTGTAGTTTTCTGAGTTTGTTGGTGTGTGTGTCTGTCTTGAGGGTGGTCTGTGTTTCAGCTCTCCAGACAGCGAGTTGTTTGGATTTGTCCCAAAGTAAGGGGTGAATCTTGTTGCTGAGTCTGAGGTGAAGTGTGAGGAGATCTTTGTTGATTTGGTCTAGGAGAAATCTTTTTGTGTGAAGTTCATTTCTAATTAGGGCCAATTCTGTTCTTTTTAGGATGCGTTTGGTGGCTGCTGTGTTGGTGTGGAATTTCAATTGGAAGCTTGTGGGAATTAAATTTTGATCTTGGCAGTTGCATAGGAATGCGAGGTCACATAAAATGGAAGCTCTTTGGACTTCAAGTTTTTCATAAGTCCTGGTCAGATGGTGGGTTTCCTCCCCGTAGAGGTGCAATATTTGTTTTCTGAGGTTCTCGCGGGTATTTGTATGTGGATCTTTGGTTATTCGGGTTTTCTCCCGCGTAAGATTGGAAGTATCTAGGCAACGTTTCGATGAAGTCTCATTCATCATCTTCAGGCTTGTGTCTTCAGCTCTTGCTTCTCAGAGTGATGTGAGCTTGCAGCTGCTTCTTTCTTTTAACTGCTAGTGGGGGTGTGACTTGATTGGGTGGGGGCTTGGCTGTGTTCTGATTGGGTGGGGGTGTGTTCTCATTGGTTGGGGGTTTGGCTGTGTTCTGATTGGTTGGGGGGGTTGGCCATGTTCTGATTGGCTGGAGGTGTGTTCTGTTCAGGTGGGGGCTTGGTTGTGCTCAGGTTAGTCTTAGTTGCTGGGGGATTTGAGCTGGTGAGCTGTGATCTTGCTGTTTGGCTTCGAGTTCGTGGTCGTGCCGCATCTTCATGGTGGGGGTCAGTTCGCTTCATGTATGGCTCGGAGGGGTTTGAAATGGGTAGTGATGCAGCTGCAGTGCGGCTTCTGGTCCGTGGTCGTGTCTCATCTTCTGTGTGGGTGTGAGTCTGCTTTTTACGTGGAAGTGTGGTGGTGGAATCTTGTGTGGCCCTCGTGGGTGTGGGTCTGGTGTCATTCTTCATGTTAGGTACTCGTCTGTTCATGAGGGAAAATATATATATATATATTTTCTTAAGTTTTCGCGGGTACTTACATGTATGGCATTCAGCTTTGTTCGGGTATTTTCCCACGTCATTGTAGTTGTGCTTTTAAAGTTGTAGCAACATTTCAGCAGAATCTCATCTGCCATCATCAGGCTTCTGTATTGTGTTCGTCTGTGAGTCAGACTATCACAGCTGTTTCAGTTTTAAATTTGGGGCAGCCTACTGATGTGCCAGAATGGTTTTTTTCCTGATTAGTTGGGAGTCTTGGTCTGTGTTTATTGGTCTTGGAGTTTGCTGTGTTCTGCTTGATTGGTGTTTCTAATATCTTCTGTCTGTTTTGTGGCTCTTTTTGTGTCTTGATTGACTGGCAATATTGTGTTCCTTTATTGGAGGCCTTTAGTGCAGCTTGGCTCCGAGTAAATGGACGGCTATCATTAGTTAGGAAGCTAGGTTTCATCTGGGTGCCTGGTTGGGGTGTGTTTGAGCTGGAGGTATCGGGGGGATCTGTTTGTGCCCAGGTGTTAGCCTGGCTTGTGGTGTGGAGATTTTTTTGCTTGTGAGTGCAGGCTTCCAAATAATTGACAGTCTGGTGGAATCATCTCTTCTATTCATGCTTTCAGGTCTTTTTTCAATCTCTATAGCTTCTCTGATGATTCTGTGGCTGGGGTTTTCTCTAGTGGCTAGGGTTTTGGTGCCATTGAAGTTGATGCTATGACCTGTGTCTTTCATGTGTTGGACTAGTATGTATGTATGTATGTATGTATGTATGTATGTATGTATGTATGCATGTGTGTGTGTGTGTATATATATATATATATATATATATATATATATGCTTGCACTGGCACTAAGCCGAAAGCACCAGCCTGAAGATGGCGAG